CGTGGGGCGGGGGGAGGGCGCAGGCGTGGGCCGGGGGGGTCACAGGCGTGGGCAGGGGGGCCGCAGGCGTGGGCCGGGGGGTGGTGCAGGCGGGGGGCGGGGGGGGGCGCGGGCGGGGCCGGGGGGGGCACAGGCGTGGGCCTGGTGAGGGGCACAGGCGTGGGCCTGGCGGGGGGGCACAGGCGTGGGCCTGGGGGGTGCGCCCCAGGCCTGGACCTACCGCACCCGCAGCAGCCGGTTCCGCTCTGCCTTCCCCGAGGCCCCCCTCTCCCGGAGGCATTTCCTGGCAGCCGGGGCCTCCGCTCGGGCCGACTCGCGGGCGTCCTCCAGCTGCCTCTCCTGGATCTCCATGTGCCACACGGCGCTCCTTGCAAACAGGAGGCGCTTCTGTTTACGCTGGCAGAGGGGTTGGAGAGCCGGGCCACGCCCCCCGCGCAGCGTCCACTCCAGGGCTCCGCCACCGAGTCTGACCAACACCCAGGCCCCTTGTCTCCTGCCACACCGCCCTGCTCTGTCCCTGAAGCCCTGCTCTCTGGGCCCAGGGACGCAGCGACCGGGCCGCGTGGCGCCGCCGCGAGCTTCGTGCTTTGCTTATGTGCCTCTCATTCCCGTGAAGGCAGGCAGGGACTCCAAGTGTTTTCCTCACCGCTGACCCTACGTGCTTACGTCGGGGTCTGACACTCAGCAGGTGCTCAGTGACCGTGAGTGACGCCGTCTAGGCCACGAGCCCCAAGTTCACACGTGCCCCTGAAGGAAGCCCTTGGGGACAGCAGACACCTGCTGCGTGGGCTGCCTGCCCTCAGCCCACACTTGGGGGGACTCATCAACGTCCCTGCGGCCTGGGGTGCCCTTGAGCCTGGGCACACAGACCGGCAGCAACACAGGAGGGCCCTGAAGTCACGTCCCCCCAAGAATAGGTTCAAGGGGTCACTACGTGGTCCAAGGGGATGCTGACCAGGAAGGGAAACCAGGTGGGCTTCCAACGGGAGCCCTGCTCAGTGGTGAAGCAGACAGCAGTGGACTCTACGGCCATGAAGGGAGACACCGGCCATGCACGAGGACATGAATGCCTCTCATGGCTGCTGTGTGGCATGGAGGAGACGGGCACGGGGAGTAAACACTGCAGGGTCTCACACACTTAACACTAAGGGGCAGAGGACACCCGCGGTCACCTGGGGTCAGCACTGCTGACGGACAGGATGCACAAGGGACGTTTGACGTACATTTTCCTGCATATAAATTAGACCTAAATAAAGCTGATTAAAAAGAAAGGAAATGGGCAGCAGCCACGCCCACATGAGGAGGGGCAGGCAGGTGGGCTATGGGGGGTCAGGGCCAGCCACAGCGGGGCAGGGTCAGCAGACTGGTACTTGGTGGGAGGAGAAGTGAGCAAAAACACTGAAGGTAATGACAGACAGGTTCCATCTGTCAGAGAAGAAGTGTCCCATCAGACAGGGGAGATGAGGGTGCACCTCTGGTTCTGTTGGAGCTGGAATCACGGGTGTCAACTCCTGGTTCTAACGCAGACACACAGAGACATGCACATGCTTCCCAGTGGGGCCACCTGGTGCCCAGCCCTAGGTCCCTAAACACCACTCTCCCCTGTGAGAAACCAAGGCTCTGGCTTGGTCCGGACAACCGGCTAGGTCTAGGACTAGGGCGGACAGGAAACAAGTGGGCTACGAACATGTCGTTACCCCAGAAAGCACTCGAAGAACGACAGGGAGCCTGCTTGAAAGAGGTGCTAACTGGCCCAATTGGGGGTGACTGGAGCATCAAAATAAATAATGATGATGGGACTTCCCTGGTGGCACAGTGGTTAAGAATCCGCCTGCCAATGCAGGGGACACGGGTTCGAGCCCTGCTCTGGGAATGTCCCACATGCCGCGGAGCAACTAAGCCCGTGCGCCACAACTACTGAGCCTGAGCTCGAGAGCCCACGAGCCACGACTACTGAGCCCACGCACCTAGAGCCCGTGCTCCGCAACAAGAGAAGCCACCACAATGGGAAGCCCACGCACCACAACAAAGGGTAGCTCCCGCTCGCAGCAACTAGAGAAAGCCCGTGCACAGCAACGGAGACCCAATGCAGCCAAAAATAAATAAATTAATTAATTAAAAAAAAAAGATAGAGCAGGTTATAACCCACTGCATAGAACAGAAGTCGAAGAGTCTACACTGACACATAAAGAAACATGGGGAAGAGAACGCTGTTCCTTACAGCGGAACGCTAACTCGTACATCTAGAAGGAATTACGGAATTAGAAAATCGCCCTTTGGCAACCATCATCATAACTGATTCAAGCGAGAAGCATCAATAAATGCAAACACCGAGCGTGAAAGGGATGAGGATGGGGTTTTCCAGTCTCACAGTATGTACCACCAATTCCATGTTAGTTTCCAAAGGAAAAGTGTGACTCTGCATTGAAGAAACCCTGCGTGGGACTTCCCTGGTGGTCCAATGGGTAAGACGCTGCACTCCCAATGCAGGGGGCCCGGGTTCGATCCCTGGTCAGGGAACTAGACCCCGCATGCATGCTGCAACTAAAGATCTCACATGCTGCAACTTAGACCTGGTGCAGCCTAAATAAATAAATAAAATAAATATTAAAAAAAAGTGTAAACTTTAGGGACTTCCCTGGTGGTCCAGTGGTTGAGACTCCGTGCTCCCAATGCAGGGGGCCTGTGTTCGATCCCTGGTCGGGGAACTAGATCCCGCATGCTGCAACTAAGACCCAGCACAGCCAAATAAATAAATATTTTTTTTAAATGTGTAAACTTTAAAACCAAAAAAGAAACCCTGCACACCCCATCTCGATCAAGTGACCAAAGTTCCCCCACTGGAAATGGGACCGGTGGCCATCGTACACCTTGTTGGCGGGGGGGGGGGGCGGGGGGCAGCACCTGGGGGATTCTAGACCACCGCCCCGAGGAAACATCACACAAAGGCAACTTGGGGGACAGTTCCTGGCCCGGATGCTTCAAAACCATCAAGGTCACGAGCGTCACGGGAAGACTGAGGGTCTTTCCTACTGGAGGTGGGGCGACGCCATGCAACCCTCCAGGTGTGAAGTGTCACCGGGATGGTGGGGAGAGCAAGGGGACACCAGGGGTTCTTGGTGCTATTTCTGCAACTCTTCTGTGAATTTGAAATTGTTTCAAAATTTAGAAGTTTTTTAAAAAACTAAAGGGACCATCCAGTGATCCGACACAGGCAGGGCCCCGGGGGCTCCGCGGCGCTGGTGGGGACCAGCCCGGTGCCGGCTGGTGCAGGGAGGAAGCTGCCGTGTACAGGATTTGACACAGCACAGCCGTCCTCGCCGGGTGGGGGGAGTGCTCTCAGAAAAGGTGTAAAGCTCTTTTAAAAATCATGCTGGTCGTTCTTTGGAGGCTCAAAGAGCAGGAAAAAAGGAAAAAGAAGCTGATTTCACAGTTCCTGAGAACTCAGACAAACATGGAGGATGCGCAAAACACTTAAATGATGGAAAGTCTCAGCTACCTTTCAATCTTTAGGCAGCTTGAAAGTCAAACACAAAATGTCATTCTTCATCTTCAAACCCGTCCCTGCTCGACGGCCTGGACTTACACGCTGTCCTGCAGCACGGCCGTCATCTTCGCCTGCAGGTCCCCCTCGTTCCCCAGCTCTGAGCACGGGCGCTGGGACGCTGCCTCGAGGCGACCCACGGCTGCCCAGCAGAGGGCGAGTGGGTCGGGGCCTCAGGGGCTGCGGGCCTTCAGGCTCAGCGATGCCTTCGCCTGACCTTTCCTCTAAACTGGCCGACTCGAGGGCAGGGCTGCGGCCGAAGGAAGGCTTCTCCTGGGCCCACTCCGTTGATCTGAGCCCGCTCCTGCCCCCTCCCGCCCCCTCTCCACTGGCCTCTCATCCTTCCAAGGATGGGGAGCCAGCCCCCTGGTTGCCAGCCCCTCAGGAAGGACCCGCACACTCACCTAACGACTAGAGGCATCTCGGGGGCCAAAAAGCCACTGAGAGGCCCTCCTGGCCGAGCCCACTCTGAGACCTCCTACTTCACCTCCCTCTGCCCTCCCGGTCACCCAAGCCCAGTCACACTCTGAGGTGTAGCCACTTCGCGGGGGCGCTCAGATGAACAGGGTGGGTGGGCGGGCGCAGGACAGAGAGGTGCACCGCCCCGCAAGACACCCCTCTACGGTCAGGAGAGGGCGGGGGCATCTCTTGGAGGGCGGCCTGGAGGGACACTGACCAGAGGGCTCTGGTCCGCGGGCACGTGACCTGGTGTCCTCGCCTGCTGCCCCGGGCCCTGCACTCGCCGCCCACCCCAGCCATTGTGCCGCTGTCCCTACCACTCACCTCCCAGCCTGCAGGTCCCCTCCTCAGGGAGGCCTCCCCTGGCCACCTGCCTCAAAGTGACCGCCCCTCCTGACTCGTGGCCACCTGACTCCTGATGTCCACTCGGGTTGCCCGATTCCCACACGGCCGGGAAGTGGGTCCGCCCCCACTCCCGTGCCCACCGGCCCCAGGGCCCCACCTCCGACCTACCTGTTGCCGGCGGCTCTCTCCGCGGCCGGGCCAGCTGCCACGCTCTCCTGCTGCTTGGCGAGGAGCCCCATCCTCCAGCGGCAAGCACGCAGCTCCTCCCTGAAAGTTGGAACCAGCGTCGGTAAGCGGCTCCCTGCACCCCAGGCGCTCCGGCCGGGGCGGGGCCGGCAGCTGGCACAGGCTCTCCTGCGGGCATCTCGAGCATTTAGGAGTAAAGTTTCATGATGTCATCAATTTGCCTTCAAGTTTCAACTTTTCTGTGTTTGAAATTTTTCTTCGCAGACATTGGAGAACACACTGCAGCGTCGCCGTCAATTGGACAGGAGTGGAGGGCGGCAAACGCCGCACAGATGGGCCCCGGCCAGAGCCCGGCCCGCCCCGCTCACCTCGTGTTCTGAGTGAAAAGGTCTTTCTCTTCATGCAGCTGGTCTAGGTGGCTCAAATCCCTCCGCAGGAGTGAGGCCTGCATTCTGTCCTGGACGGCTGGTCTCTGCTTCCTCTTGTCTGCATTCTGCTCTTTCCCTGGACTTAACATGGAAAGGACGCCCGCTGCCATCCCGTGGGGAGTGCGTCCTGCCCCTCCCCCTCCCCCTGCCCCGGGTTAATTACCAGGAGCTTCCTGGGTCCGCCTCGTTCTCAGCCTCCCCAGGGACAGGGCCCAGCACAAACTCCGGATCCTCCGGTTCATCTGTTTCTAGAAATAGAGTGAGAGTTAAAACAACAGAACGCAGATGGAGACCTTCAAGCCTGAAGTTCCAGGGTAAATCCTGACACACGCAAACTGGGCAATGATGGGATGGAGCAGTGGTTCTTAAAGTGTGGCCCAGGGAACCCTTCCAAGGGGTCTGCAAAGTCAAAACTATTTTCATAATAATCGCAAAACACTATTGTCTTTCCCACCCTTGTTTCATGAGCGTAGAGTGGAGTTTTCTAACGGCCACGTGACAAGATCTCAGAGTAGACTAGTCAAAGGCAGACGTGAAATGCAGCTGCTGCTCTGAAACCAGGCTCTTCAGGTTACATACAGCAGGTTCCTCATTGCCATTTGAAGCAATAACGAAAGACTGGGAAGCTACCGTCGGCCACTGAACTTCAAGGTCTCAGCCACGTGGACCTTTCTTCTGATTAAACAGAATAATACAAGCTACCTTTTTGAGAAAAAATATGAGTTTAAAAGATGTGGTCTCTCTGAAAAAAGGAAATTAAAGGGCAACTATTAAGCACATCGTTTGTCTTCCGTGTGTTGAAACGTGTCTTATTTGTGAAAAGACCTTTCTTAATTACCATCCTCCACAAGGGGGGCGTCGTCCAAAAGCTTCTTAGGGAACAGGCTGGCATCTTCTTCCATCTTGGGAGGCAGAAATTAGCTACAAAAATTTTTACAAAACATAGATGACACATTAAAAAAACCCTAAAAAACCGGATTTCATAAGCGTTAACAATTTCTCTTGTAAAAAGACATTAGGGCTTCCCTGGTGGTGCAGTGGTTGAGAATCTGCCTGCTAATGCAGGGGACACGGGTTTGAGCCCTGGTCTGGGAGGATCCCACATGCCGTGGAGCAACTAGGTCCGTGAGCCACAACTACTGAGCCTGCGCCTCTGGAGCCTGTGCTCCACAACAAGAGAGGCCGCGATAGTGAGAGGCCCGCGCACTGCGATGAAGAGTGGCCTCCGCTTGCCACAACTAGAGAAAGCCCTCGCACAGAAACGAAGACCCAACACAGCAAAACTAAATAAATAAATTACTAAAACTCCTACCCCCAACATCTTAGAAAAAACAAAAAAAACACAAAACAAACAAACAAACAAAACAGCAAAGCATATTTTTTAAAAAAAGACATTAAGAAAATGAAGAGAGGCCACAGAATCTGAAAAAATATTTGCAGCACATACATGTAACAGAGGCCTGGTACTCGGATTATATACAAGGAACTCCTAAGTAACAGCAATAGCAAGTCCAAACCCCAACTGAAAAGGGACAAAAATTTTAGAACAGACACGACAAAAGAAGATGCACGATGACCATAGGCTCATGGAACTTTGTAAACATCATTAGTCACTAGGGAATCAAATCAAAACCATAACCAGACACCACTACACACCTGTTAGAACGCCCCAAATCAAAAATACCCAATACGAAACCGTAACACTAGATGCTATCAACATATACTAACCAGAGGACCCAGAAATCCTACTGCGAGGTATTTACCCAAGAGAAACAGAAGTATGTCCACAAAAACACTTGTACAGGAACGCTCACAGCAACCTTATTCACAACAGCCGCAAACTGGAAACAATCCAAATGTCCATCGTGATGAGAACGGATTCTGAGAAGCAGATGCTGGTACATTCATACAAAGGAATAACAGTGATAAAGAGAACGCAGTCTGATGCACAGAGCACCACGGATGAATCTCAGACACACCGTGCTAAGTGCAGGAAGCCAGACACAGAAGAGCACGTATGACGCCCCAGAACACGCAGGACTAAAGGGCGATGATAGAAATGAGACGCAGCTTCTGGGTTAGAGGCAGGGGATGGGGACGGCGGGGGGCTACGAGGAACTGGGGGGAGGACGGAAACGGTCTGCATCTTGTTCTGGGTGGTGGCTACACAGGGGTACACAAGTGTCAAACTCACACTAGTGAACGTTTAATTTGCGTGCTCGTTACAGCGTGTACACGTTATCTCAATAAAACGCAGGCACAGAGTCCAGAGGCAACGCCCGAGGGCTTTCACAATATTCATTACAGTTTGACAGTCATTTCGGGAACATTGGGAGATGCCTGTGTAGAGCCTGGTACAGATGTTGATGTTAGATGTTGATATTATGGACGAGGTGCTGAAACTGTAGACCAGTTTGTTTTCATTGCTGAATTTAGCAACTGCTCCAGAATAAGTCACTGAAAAATATTTTCAAAGCCTAATAATGTTTCCTTGATAAGTCGTTAATAAATCAATGCCAGTCATTTATTTTTTAAATGCTACAAAAAACCCCTCTGTGCATTAAAGCCCTGAGAGGCAGAACTCTGAGGCATCTTGTAAAATACCAACAATACTCCTCCCAACTGAAGACAGCTCTTAGTCCACCAGCCTGCGGATGGTGGACGCGGGGCTTTCAGAAGATGCTTGCAAAGTGGTCCAGCCTGTGCTGCCCTGGGCTCGTGAGTTCCATGCGCTCATCACATCGCGTGTAAGACACAGTGTAACCAACGCCCCCCGAGGGTGACACTCTGCTAAGAGGAGGGACGTCTCACACAGCTCCACCTGCAGTGATGACATCAAACCACACACGCTCTGAATGTCCAGCTAAAGACGGTGGTTCCAGACAGGGGGTCCCTGATCCCCTTCAAATCCTCACTAGGACAACCGTGGCAGGATTCAGTGTTTTCAGGACATGAGTCTACAAGGATGAGGCAGACGTGAGAGGAACAGTGGGAACACAACAGGAGCCAGTGTGCGGAAGGGCACGTGGTGAGGGGCCCCAAGGCCCCACGGGCATCGCACAACCTGGGGGTCAGGAGCCGGGCGCCTCTGACGTGCGGGTGAAGTGGGATCAAACACAGAGATTTGCTAAAATGTGCTTAAGAAGCACGTGGACCTTCTGTTTGAGAATTGGCTGGCCAGCGTGCAAATAACCAAAAATGCTGGGAAAATTGTATTTTAATTGTCTTAAGGATCTTGAAGAATTGACATGACGAAATTGTCAGGTCAAAACCTAAGTGAAGACAAGAATACAAATAGATGAAGTGACCAAGCTAAAGAAAAGTGTCTTATCAACCACCAAAAACAACAAAAATCTAACTTTTTACTATTTTTTTAAAATTTATTTATTTTTGGCTGCACTGGGTCTTCGTTGCTGCCCGCGGGCTTTCTCTAGGTGCGGAGTGCAGGGGCTACTCTTCATTGAGGTGCGCAGGCTTCTCATTGCAGTGGATTCTCTTGTTGTGGAGCACGGCCTCTAGGCACGTGGACTTCAGTAGTTGTGGCGCATGGGTTAGTTTCTCTGCGGCACGTGGGATCTTCCCAGACCAGGGCTCAAACCCGTGTCCCCTGCATTGGCAGGCGGATTCTTTTTTTTTCTTTTTTTTTTTTTGGTACGGGGGCCTCTCACTGTTGTGGCCTCTCCCGCTGTGAAGCACAGGCTCCGGATGCGCAGGCTCAGCGGCCATGGCTCACGGGCCCAGCCGCTCCGCGGCACGTGGGATCCTCCCAGACCGGGGCACGAACCCGCGTCCCCTGCATCGGCAGGCGGACTCTCAACCACTGCGCCACCAGGGAAGCCCACTTTTTACTATTTAAAAGAGAATTCTAAAGCAATAACATACAAAAGCACTGCATTTTCAAAGTCAGACAAAGATGCCCTATATAGAAACTGTAACAGGAAGCTGGTGGCGTTGTCTAGAAACAGACAAAAATACTTTAGGCAAAAAGCAGTAACAGCAGTAAGAGGGTCAGGTCATCACCAGAGGCTCAGCTCACCAGGAAGATACAACAGTGGTAAATCCACGTGTATTCAAACGCATAGCCACTAAATAAACAAAGCAAAGACTGGCAGAACAAGGAGAAAGAGTCAAAAGTACAAACTCTAGTGGGAGGTTTTAACACGCCTCTCTCAGGAACTGACAACAAAACCAGATAAAATAAGTCATTAATGACACACATTTAAACAACATCATTAACAAACTGAACCCCACAGACATACATGGAACAGAAACAACTATGGAAATTTAAGTGCTCCCTTAAACTATTACACAGAATATTTACAAAATCTATCTACCGGCCCCAAAGCAGGACTCAACAAATTTCAAAGAACTAAAATCATATGAAGCTTATTCTCTGAGCAAATTAATTAGCCCAAATCAATAACAGAGAAAAGCAAAGCAGATGGGGAGCAGGAAGACCCCTGAGCTCACCTTCTCCCGCGGACACAGAGAGAATCACCCTATCACAGAGCAGCTAGTGACGAGAAAGAGCAGGAGCTTAGAAGAAAAGACCGTCTACACCTGAAGCTGTACAGGAGGACTCCCAACAGGCGGGGCGGTCAAGACCCAAAGCCCCGGGTGGGTAAGCTGAGCACGGGAGGATAATCACAACCGCAGAGGGGCGCCCCAAGGAGTCAGGGTCCCCAGCCTGGGGGCCCTGCACCAGGAAGTCGAGCCGGAAGAACATCTGGCTCTGAAGGTGAGCGGGGCTTCCTTCCAGGGGAGCCAGAGCGCCGTGCGAAATACAGACGCCGCTCTTAAAGGACACAAAATCTCACGTGCTCAGGGCCCAGGACAAAAGCAGGAAATGGAGAGGAGCCTGGGTCAGACCCACCTGCTGATCCTGGCAGGGCAGCTCATCCTGGGGACACAGACACTGGTGGCAGCTCTAACACAAGGACACTGGTGCTGCCAGTGCCATTTCAGAACCCTCCCTCTGGCTTATTAGTGCCGGGACCTGCCTGCAGGCACCAGTATGGGGATGCCTCAGGCCAAGCGGTGAGCTGGGCAGGGGCATAGCCCCACCTGCCAGTAGGCTGGCTGCCTTAAGACTCCCTGAGCCCACAGCCACCCCAGGACCTCGCGCTGTCCACCCAAGAGCCCAGGACCCAGTCCCACTCACCGCTGCCCAGCACCAGCCCTGGGACCAGCGTCACCCACTAGCAGGCAGCTCCAGCCCCAGGACGCCCTGGACCCTGGCCCTGCCCACCAGTGGGCTGATACTCCTACTCCAGGAGTCCCAGGCCACTTACATCAATGGGCACGTCGTCCAGACAGAAAATCAATCAGGAAACACTGGCCTTAAGTGACACATTAGACCCAATGAACTTAATTGATCTATCTGGAACATTCCTTCCCCAAACAGCAAAGACACATTCTTTTCAAGTATACGCGAGACATTCTCCAGGACAGATCACATGCTAGGCCACAAAACAAGTCTCAATAAATTTAAGAAAACTGAAATCATATCAGGCATCTTTTATGATCACAATGCTATGAGACTAAACATCAACTACAAGAACAAAACTGCAAGAAACACAAACATGTGGAGGCTGAACAACATGCTACTAGGCAACCAATGGATCACTGAAGAAATCAAAGAAGAAATTAGAAGAATTCCTGGACACAAATGAAAATGAAAAGCAGATAATCCAAAATCTGTGGGACGCAGCAAAAGCAGTTATAAGAAGGAAGTTTATAGCAATACAAGCTTCCCTCAGAAAACAAGAAAAATCTCAAATAAACAACCTAACCATACACCTAAAGCCTAACCCTAAGTAGAGACAGCAGAACAAACGACACTCAAAGTTAGTAGGACAGAAATCACAAAGATCAGAGCAGAAATAAATGAAATAGAGACTTT